TGCAAGGTGATATGTCTGTAAGGGAATATGAGGCCAAGTTCAATGACCTATCCCGGTTTGCACCATCACTAGTGGAAGCTGAACCCATGAGGTGTCTTAAGTTTGAGAAGGGTCTCAAGAATTCTGTGAGGAGGTCATTGGTGGCCTTAAGGATTTGGAACTTCCGGGATTTGGTAGCTGCTGCTACACGGGTGGAACAAGATAACTTAGTCTATCACCAAAGCAAAGAGGCAACTGGTCGAGTCTCTGTCTCTGGTAGACCTAATGTCTCAGGTGGGCCACAACGGAGCGGTAGGAGAAACCGCAACCAGGGGCAAACGGTTGGGGAGATGGCAAGCGGTGGCAGTAGTTCATCAGGGAGTGACAGAAATGCTCCGTACGGGCCCAGGTGTCACCATTGTGGGTAGGTGGTCCATATTAGGAGGAATTATCCTAATCGGCCGCCGGCTCAACAAGCCCAAAGTGACGCTTCCTACAGTCAAGAAGGGCCACCACCGTACATGCCACCATATCAGCCACAACAGATGCTATACCCTCCTGTGCCGACTTATCAACCACCTCCGTTTACACAATTTCAGCCTCAAGCGCCGAGACTGGTACAACCACCTCCGCCGCAACAGTATAGGCCTCTGACCCAACGGCCAAATGTTGGTGACAGAGGGAAAGGAAAAGTACAGGGACAAGCTTATGCCCTGGCAGGAGGCAATTCTGGAGGTCAGACCAGCAACCCGGTGGTTGAGGGTACGATTCTAATCTCTCACTCTTTTGCTCACGTGTTGTTTGACATAAGTGCCACACACTCGTTTATATCAAGTTCTTTTGTTTGGGCTTTGAAATTGAAATCTGAGAATTTAGAAGTCCCGATGACTTTGAACTCTCCACTGGGATGTGTGGAGGTAATGAGTGTGCGTAGATCGTGTGAAATCACAATTGGGAGTGAGCGAATGAGAGCTGACTTGATTATCCTTCCGATGAGCTTGTTTGATGTGGTCCTCGGAATGGATTGGTTCTCGAAATACGGAGCAATTGTTGATTGTTACCGTAGGAGAGTGACTCTGATGACTAAGTCTGGAACAACGATTTCTTATCAGGCAGATTTGAATCTAGTCTTAGGAGAACGACTGTTGAAGTACAGTGTTGGGGGACGGAGGAATCTAGCATGTTTTTCTTCACTTCTTGCTTTGGAAAGTGAGCACGAGATAACTGGAGATAGTGCGGGAATCCTTGTAGTGGATGAATTTACGGATGTATTTCCTGATGAGCTACCTGGTTTACCGCCAGATCGGGAAATTGAATTCTGTATTGATTTAGTTCCGGGAACGGCACCTATTTCCATCCCTCCATACCGGATGGCTCCGGCAGAGATGAAAGAATTAAGAACACAACTTGAGGAGCTGGCAGAAAAATGGGTATATCCAGAATAGTACTTCCCCTTGGGGTGCACCGGTGCTATTTGTGAAGAAGCACGACGGATCTCTTCGGTTGTGTATTGACGGTCAACCGTCAATTGAATAGGGTAACTGTGAAGAACAAATACCCACTGCCAAGGATCGATGAATTATTCGATCAGTTGGGTGGATCACAGTTCTACTCTAAGATTGACTTGAGATCTGGGTACCATCAGCTGAAAATCAAGGAGGAAGACATTCTGAAAACTGCTTTCAGAACTCGATATGGACACTTCGAGTTCCTGGTAATGCCGTTTGGACTAACGAATGCCCCGGCTGCATTCATGGATCTAATGAACCGTGTTTTCCGGCCATACTTGGATCGGTTCATGATCGTCTTCATTGACGACATACTGGTTTACTCGAAGACCTGGGAAGAATATGAGTAGCACTTGAGAATTGTTCTTCAGACTCTTCGAGAACACCAGTTGTATGCTAAGAATGAGAAGTGTCACTTCTGGCTGACAGAAGTGAAGTTCCTTGGGCATGTGATTTCTGGACAGAGAATTTCTGTAGATCCTTCTAAGATCGAGACTGTGCTACAGTGGGAAAGACCGAAGAATGTTGCGGAGATTCACAGTTTTCTCGGACTTACAGGGTACTATCGGCGTTTCGTGAAAGACTTCTCGAGTATTGCTGCACCGATGACTCGGTTGACCAAAAAAGAAGTCAGATTCCAGTGGGACACTGAATGTGAAAATACTTTTTAGGAATTGAAGGTCAGACTGACAAGTGCACCAGTCTTGACTATTCCTGATAGTAAGGAACCATATGAGGTGTATTCTGACGCCTCGGGAAATGAGCTTGGATGTGCCTTAATGCAAGACGGATGCGTGGTAGCGTACGCATCTCGTCAATTAAGACCACATGAACGAAATTATCCCACTCATGATTTGGAACTGGCAGCGGTAATATTTGCTCTAAAGATATGGAGATGTTATCTCTATAGAGCAAAGTTTCAAGTCTTTTTTGACCATAAAAGTCTGAAGTACTTGTTTACTCAGAAAGACTTGAATCTCAGGCAAAGGAGATGGGTGGAGTATATGGAAGATTACGACTTCACTCTACAATATCATCCGGGAAAAGCTAATGTGGTGGCTGATGCCCTTAGTAGGAAGACGACAGGGACTTTGGCGTCATTAGCTTTGGAAGATTGGAAAATGACTGAAGTGGTGAGTGAGTATGATCTTCAGTTCTACGAAGATTATAACCAGGCTATGGTGTATAATCTGGTCTCTACACCGGATATTGTGTAACGGGTTAAGCAGAATCAATTACAGGATCCACACCTTCAAGGAATTTAGATTCGAATCCAGAATGGAGAGCAATTCGAGGATTGGAGAATCCGAGAGAATGAAGCCTTGTATTTCCGCAACCGCCTTGCTGTTCCTAAGATGGGTGAGGTAAAGAAGATGATTCTGCAAGAGGCACATAAATCGAGATATGCTATACATCCGGGAAGTACAAAGATGTACCAGGACCTGAAAAGACAGTACTGGTGGAGAGGCATGAAAAGAGACATTCGTGAGTATGTCTCTGAATGTGTGACTTACCTCCGGATTAAAGCTGAGCATCGGAAGCCAGCAGGAGAGTTACAACCTCTTCCTGTCCCTAGATGGAAATGGGAGCACATCACCATGGACTTTCTGATGGGGCTACCGAGAACTGAGCTGAAGTACGATGCCATCTGGGTGGTGGTGGATAGGTTGACGAAGTCTGCGCACTTCATACCGTTTCATGCAACGTATTCTCGGAAGATTCTGTCAGAATTGTATCTGGAGCACATCGTGAGATTACACGGAGTGCCACTGTCAATCACATCCGATCGTGATACCCGCTTCAATGCAAGGTATTTGAGGAGTTTCCAGGAAGCCATGAGAACATACTTGAATTTCAGCACAGCATTTCATCCTCAGACTGATGGGCAATCTGAAAGGGTAATTCAGATTCTGGAGGATATGCTTCGTGCTTGTATTCTGAAATTTGGTGAAAACTGGAAGAAATACCTGCACCTAGCTGAGTTTGCTTATAACAACAGCTATCAAGCCAGTATCAGAATGGCACCGTTTGAAGCTCTGTCTGGTCGTCCTTGTAGGTCACCTGTGTGTTGGTTGGAACCAGAGGATCGACTGAGCACTGGACCGGAAGTCATTCAAGAGAATAATGAAAAGATAGCTGTGATACGGAAACGAATGTTGACAGCTCAAAGTCGTCAGAAGAGTTATGCTGACAGAAGGCGTAGGCCTTTGGAATTCCAAGAGGGCGAGTTTGTCTTGCTGAAGGTTTCCCCACACAAGGGAGTTGTTCGGTTTGGTGTGAAAGGGAAACTTGCACCAAGGTATGTGGGACCATTCCCGATCG